TCGTAAGAAATTGTGTAAAGAAGAACTAATTAGAACCAAGTTTTAGAAGCTGTTTAGTAAGAAATAAGATATTACCTAGTGTATATGAAGGGGTGGCATTGTGGCTTCTGGGAAAATTGCTCCTGGTGTGAGTGTGTGTGTTTCTCTCTGTGTGTGCCCTGTGATGAACTGGAATCCTGTCTAGAGTGTATCCTGACTTGACCCGTGTTGCTTGACAGGATAGGCTCAGGCTGCTCTGTGACCCTGTATTCGATAAAGTGGTTAAAAATAAATGGATGGAAGGAATATGAGTTTTAAGACCTCTAGCCTATTTTTAACTACTTCCTTTGGTTTGTTGTGCTTCTTTGCTTCCTCTTACCCTTTCTGGCAATGATAAATCTTTTCAAAATGCTGCTTTTGTTCAAACAGTTTGCTGGTTTTTCATATAAGAACAAGGGAGGAAACAAGAGCAGGGAGTGACTCACTGCAAATTCAACAAGTAAGGGAAGAAATAACAATGAGACGTGGATATGAACTAGTCTTTCACTCTGAGGAATTAAGAACAGAATGGTATAGTAAGCAGACATCTTTGTTGCAACACTAGGAAATGAGAGTAAGTCTCTGTGAGGTTCCTGAAAAATGATAAATCATTAGGATAAAATAAAACCATGACAAGGCGTTTTAAATAAGGCTGAACACCATCTGATTTATGACAAGCTGTCAACAGACTGATTTATTCTATCCATGGATCCCTAAGCACACACACTGAATTTCTTTTTCTTTAACCAACAGTCATTTTCAGAAATACATGAACTCAGTCAACGTATGGCCTCGATAGGGATCAGATTTTACAGGTACTGTAGGTAGTCAAAGGTAAAAAGAAGTCCCTGATGGAATTAATCTTGTTGTCACGGGAGCCGGTTCTGACTCACATGAAGTGCATTGTTAAAGACCCAATGCATGACGATATAATCCTGAAGTGACTAGAGAAGGATATCAGGGAAGACACATCGAGGAATGGACGGGATTACAGACAGGGGAAAGTAATGGAAGTGATCTGGTCCAAAACAGTCCAGTCCGACAACTGTGACATTAATATTCATATCCATGATTCATTATTTAACAGTAACCAAATGAACAAGATGGTTGATTTATTTGTACTTTAAATCTGTGTCTACATCCTTCCATTCATCTGCTTTGTAAGAAGGCTGCCAATAACCTTCTGTAAGGGGAAATATATCAGAAGCACATTACTTTTCAAGAGTGTAAAAATAGAAGATGATTCTAAAGATGATTAGAGAGGCACCATAGAGCAACCCCATCACAGAAGTGCCATACTGTGCAAATTAGGTGGTCTCAAATATCATCATCAGAAAGATGATAATTTCCAAAGGGATCCTGCAGGGAAGGATGTTCTACTGTGGCTAGATAACACGTGAATAAGGCTCAGGATGAGCTCAGTCCTAGAGGGATCAGGAGCTCTGTGTGTTTAAATGAAATCCTGGAATAAGTATTAGACAGAAAGTCTCTCATTCTCCTGTCTGAGTTATAGACAGGAGGAAATAACTAAACATGACATTGTGACTGCAAACAATCGGCTAAATCGATGATATCTGCTTATCAATTGTGTGAAATTGGCATTCCTCACTTTGTATTCCTCCTCAGCATTCATAACACCAAGACAATGTTACAGGTACATCCACACAAATGCCTAAGTCCATGCCACATATCTAAGAGACCATGACACTCAGACAGGATCTCAGTCTCACATTTCATCCCAGATTTCACCTCATACAGTGCAAGACACCCTGTCAAAATAATGAGACACTGACTTCGAAACTGTGGTCCACAGGGAAGAGTACTATCTACTGTAGAGCTGAAACACTCAAGACATCAGTATATCCTGAGGCATTGTCAACATGCTGAAGCTAATCCTGACAGAGATCTGTATTGGCTGTATCAGAAAGATGATAGCCCTTATCCTGCTATGTATAGTATTTATACAATAAGAGGAACATGGTTTGGAGTGTGTGATTCCTGCTTTATTTCATTGACTTTGTTTATTCTCAACACTTTATCTCAACGCTTCCAACAGCATACCTGCTTTCTTGGATTAGTTGGTATGAATTGAAAACCATGAATGTGGGTTAGAAAATGCACTACATATTACAAATCATGGATTTATATTCAGCCTGGTAACCTGTAATATCAGATTAATTGCCTCTTTCTTGCCTGTTATATTTCATGTTTAACTACATGTGCTGCTGGTTTAAGCCATACGTTTGAAGTTTCATGCAGTTTCAGTGCTGTGTAATGTTCAAGGCTGTGTATCCACTTTTTCAGTTTTGTTTTCCATTGTGCAGTAGGGGGCGGCCTTGTGACAGGGAAACTGTACTAACCCCGCAGCAGTCAATGCAGAGCAGTAGCAGGGCACACACACAAGCTAGAGCACAGGCCATATTCATTAACAGACGAGTGAAGTTCTGCTTACCAGAGAACCCCTGCTGATTCCCAATAGGAGAATCAGAACTTTCATCCCATTTGCCAGTCCTCAAGTGCAAGAGAATGAGCTGAGAAATTAATGCAGATTCTTTCTAATGTGCCCTGTTATTTCTTGAATTGTTCAATGCTTTTATTAATGTCACTGTCATTGTAGGAGTAATTATGATAATTATTATGCTTTTATGTCATCACCTGGTTGTTTACTCTAATTTTTATTATGATGATTCTATTGATGGTGATCACTACCATTCTTATTTAATTCTTATTGTTGCTGTGATTATGAAATTAATTTATTAATTTGTTTCAGTCATAAATATGACTCATATTATTGCCATGGATTACTGATAATGCACTTCTGGGTGTTTCTTAAAAACAGAACAAGAAGTACTCTCAAACTTGAATTGTAAAATTCAATTTTTCATTTTTCCACAGAAACAAATTCCGTCTGTCAAGTAAAATTGTATTTATACTTTCATCTGTTTGATGAAAATGTAGAAAACAATTTTTAGTAGACTCATTTATATAGTTTATAGTCCAGTGATTCAGTACTAGGATAAAACATATTCTGTATCTTTCTATGAATGAATTGTTGTCATTTAGAGTACACTGCAAATAAATAGGAATATGGTTCATAATTTTATTTACTTTTAAATAGCTATCAGTAGTCATTTGAAATTGTGATTTCAAATCATTTCTTGGCTTGTATTTAGGAAGTATGTTTTCCATATTGTTTTAAGCTGGCATTTTATCAGTAGTGAGCAATTCTACTAAAATACTGTACTTAGCTCACCATTACTAAGCATAAACACAAATTATTATCTGTACCAATAGGTTGTTAACAATTTGTTAGTGCTGACAAGTAAAAAAAATTAATCACTTTTGTATTCGATACCATGTATTATAAAAGATAACTGACATTCACCCCTGCTAATTATATCGAATTTGTGGTGACATTGAATGACTGGTTGAGATCACACGGTGACTGCTTGCACTAGCTCAGTTACAGTAGGTAGTGAATGTCATTTTCCATTTCCATCTGTCCAGTGTCTTCTTATCACTAGCTAGGACCAGCCCTGGTCCTCATGATTAATGTACAATGCCTCCTGGTTTTCAGTCCAGCTGAGCTTTAAGTTCCTGAATTGAAATCATGCCTAAGCCAATAAGTATAATATTAGGTAAAAGTTACTAAAATGTTATCTTAAAAACGAAAACAAAAAAAAACCTTTTAACCAAATTATTCAGTAAATATCAGCTATCATATGGCCCTTTTATTTTCTTGACTCCTTAAATAGTAATTTCTCTCCTTTCTACCTGATCTGCGGTGTTAGTGAGACCGCAGGCACAAAATGGCTGCTAAATGTCACCCAGATATGTTCTGCATTTCAGTGCTGGATGAAAAAGGGCACCTTCTGTAGGATCTTTTGGGATGAAAACACTGTAAACTGGAATTTTTAAATTATAGTTAAATAAAATTGTATTATTAATAATTATGATCTGAGATGGACTGACGTCCCACCCAGAGTGTATCCTGCCTGGCACCTGTTGATTGCTGCAATAGGCTCAAGAGAGAGAGAGAGAGAGAGAGAGAGAGAGAGAGAGAGATGTCTTGAAACTGGAGGAAGAGCCAGGAGAACGTCATAACGAAAAGGAAATCTTGTCATGCTGTCTGAAACCAATGTGACAGCCCAGAGAGTTCACACCGAGCCACATGCACGCTGCTGCCTGACTTTAACCGGCACATTGGAGAGCTGAAGGTAGACTGAAGGGAGTCATAAATATGCATATGCTGAGCTTGTTCTTCTCCAGCAGTTCTTTTCTTAGAGTACCTTGATGCCAGTGAGTTATTTTCAAGCCAACATTTCCCGGGGATGTTGGAAAGAACAAGGAAGCAGGTCCCCATAGGCACTGAGGGAGAACATTGGATGAGCTGAGATAGTCTGGCTGGCAGATGAGTTTCTGTATAATGAAACAACCAAATCACCCAGAACCCTGAGTTAACACTGCCATTGACCAGGTACTGGCCTAGGCAATACTATGGTCTTGTATAATTTAACATGCAACCACATTCTGCTTGATTTCATTTTGACATTTTTCAAAGGGGGTGGGAGGAGAAACCTTTTTCTTCAAATAACAAAATGCAGGAAAGCTAAAGAGAAAATAAAATATCTTGTTTTATTGCTGTTGGTGTGTTCTACAAGGTGGTAAAAAGAAAATTTGCTTCAAAAGGTAAATACAATATTCATTTTAACTAGGGGGACATTTACATACAAAATAATCAAGGCATTGAAACTAGCTCCATTGTATCCCCAGTGACACATTGCACTTGAGCTCTGCATCAAAATGGAAAGATTAATAGCACATTTAAGCCTTAAACCTCTCTGGTCTTATGCAGTTCAGCACCATTAGCTTATCTTAGTTACAGCAGGGCATGCAGATATATGGTTGTGTCTATACATTTTTCTGTTTTAAAGAAAAAATAGTTCAAGACGAAAGGTAATGAAGAGATTGTATTGCCATACCAAATGTAACCTTTGGTGTTAGTTTTGCATTTGCTTGATGTCTGCAAAGGTGAGGCTGATCTGTGGTAGGTTCTGAAAAAGGGAGTTAAACACATGTTTTCCGCACAGTTCAAGTACAGTACTGTTACTGTTAGGTTACTGTACTTGGTAGATAAGTCACAGGTTATAAACTATAACGTGAAGTACAGTACTGTGGAAGAGCTGAGAGTAACAGATCTCGATTTATGATATTGTGACTCAACTGTTGTAGTGTATGGGATTTACAGTATGTAGCTGACACAGCAGTTTTAGTGTTTGCTTTTACCCTAGGAAATGAAATTGACAAGATAAGGCTCTTGAAAACTGTTTAAATTACTGTTGTGTGCAATAGGCATTACAGAATATTTTGAACCTCCAATATTATAAGGCCGATTAAACATTTCTGAACCCAATAACACATCTGTTAGATCCATCTAAAGTCAGCATGAACAAGATATTTAGATGCTGTCATTCATAATTTGAAAACTTTAATGCTATACTGCTGTCTGCACTTCAGGTCAACTTGACAAACAACTTAAAGCTCACTATTGAAAGAGGGAGCAAACGGAAGTTAATAAGAACATAGGAAAGGTTAAAAAGAGAGATCATTCAGACCATCGTGTTCATTAGGTGCAAGGAGATTAAGGGATCTAAAACTGCTTGTTCTTCAAAGAAGCCAGGGTATCAGATTAAAAAACATGGCACGGTAGCTTATTCCAGACTCCATAAACCCTTTGTGCAATAACCTGTCACCTGTTCTCCTTTCCCCATAGTATCCACTCTTTTCATCTAGTTCCTGTGTCAGATTAGTGGCAGTTGCTCAACTGTCTTCTGTCTGTCTTCTCAGGATACAGATGGTGCTTGAATTAGTTGCATTGACATTATTTCAATAGTCTTCTAGTCTTATAGTCTTCTGTTGTATGTAAGATTTATTCTCTTAGTTTTTGTGGGCTATTAATCATAGTAGGACTTGCTAGTGCATTACGCAAATGCTATGTTGCAAAAGCCTCTTGCTTAACTCTATGTTGCTATTGTGATTACTTATTTATAATTCATGTTATGTACACTTAAGTAGTCAAGTCCCAGTATTCTAGTGACTGCTATTTAGGCTTTGTGCTTACAGTAATCCATAATTGATGTTGAAAATCAAAGCACAGCATCACGCTTTCATCAAATTTTGATGCTTAGAGAACATACTTCCAAATGCCCACAGCAATATCCTTTGGCTTAGTGTTTTCCAGTGTCAAACTTTGGACATAATGTTTTTTATGATTGTTTTCAGCATCTACTGTAGTTGTACTATACCAATATATACCTGTCAAAGAGAGTCATAAGGTACACTGCTTGTTTTTTTTTTTTTAACGGTGAATATAATCCCAGGTAACCACCCTGTGTTCTTTATCATATTATGTGTACTGTAAATTCATGTTGTTCAGAAGAATTCTCAAAGTTTTACATACTGCACAAATGACAATAACCATCAATTGTAGCTCTTACTAGCATTCCACTATACTGTCCTATCTGTAAAGAGAGTTAGAATTGATATGTAGAGCTATGTCATACATATAGTTTTGTCATTCAGTGTGTGCCATTGAGGTACAGTACCTGTGAGACTATGAACATGTCTGACTGTTTTATATAACTGTTACCAATCCAATCTTTTCTCTTGAGCATAGAAATCTCTAAATTAAGAATGTATTTTACAGAAATCGTTCAGTTTTTATACAGTTATGTTTTTAGAATCATTCACTTAACATTCAAATCTTCCTCACAAGGCAAGGACTAGAGGAAACTTACCCTAAGAGAAAATACTTCTGCATAGAGGCAGCTTTGAAGATAGCAGCATATGAGACATTAAAAAGTGCAGCATTTCCAGGATCAGTAATCTGAAAACTGAGTTAAGGGCAAAATCCACAAGGAAATTTGTCTATTTGAGTTTTAAAAACATTGGCAGGCTTGAGGTTCAAAGCTGCAGTTTTTCTATTTGTGGACAAAAGGTTGCTCTTAGTTACAAATGATTAACTCTTCTGACTATTTCTTAAAAAATGGACGATATTAAAAATAATAATAAAATAGTATAGAAGAAGCTCCTTAGCTTAGCTTCTTAAATTTAATCAGTGACACAAAGTATTACTGTTTTACCACTGATGTGGTAGGTAAAGAAAATCCATTGATATAAAATGCATTAGCATATTCTATATTTTATACAGTACAGGTTTGTGTGAAGTTGTATAAAACATTTCCACCAGAGGAAACAGCAACATTAAAGTATAGGCTATTCACACAGATGTTAAAAATAATAGGTAACAATTTTCAAAACATACTTCTATCATCAAAAAGACAACTTGTTTATAACATCCCATATTATGTGTGTCTCAGTATGCTGTCTACCTAAATATTACCTCTTTTGAAACAGTAAATAAAAATGGCTAAAAATACATTAGAAATTAAGTACTTTTAAGTGCATCAATTTAATATACTTGCAGTATTTTAGCAGGAACAGAAAGGTTAAGGAGGAGGGTTCAGTATGGTGCACTAAAAATTATAGGGGTGAAATAATGTGTGTTGATGAGTACTGAAAGTACTGAAATTGCAAATAAGCCCAATGATTGCTTCACTATTTTCTTTACTAATGAAGATATGCTGTTTGCTACAGATATCTATATGTGAGCAAAGAAAACTTTGAACTATCAGAACAAAACTGTTAAGTGCCTAGATCCAGAAAGTATTTATGATACAGTCTGATAATTTACAAACCACTCACTTTGTTTTGTTAGCCAATACTGTATAAAATGCAAAAATTCCAGGAAATAAGATTATTGCCAAAGTACTGTATAAAAAGAAAGGGATATACTGAACCAGGTCATTATAGGCTTCACTGTACATTTTGTAAGACATTGGAGTCCAGCATTAGTAGTACAGAGAAGTCCAATGAGGAAGATATAATCCAAGGTTTCAAAGATTAGTTAGAAGACTAATGGAGTTTAATCATGGGAATCTGGTTGAAGTGTTCAAAATTATAAGGGGAATCAGTGTAAAGTTTATTCAGAATCAATTTTTTTTTTCATGTACTGTATAGAAAATAAGCAACTTGTTTTGATTTTGGGCTCTTTATCAATCTTGCCAGGAGCCCTGTAGAATCTTGCATTTGAATGCTAGTGTTAAAATGCATTCATTATACACATTGCAGTCTGTATATGGGTGAGACAAGCAGGTGTTTGTTGCTACAACTAATGTAAAAAAGGCCTCAGAAATGCCAGTGCTTCAGAGTTGAGCGCATGAGAGAACGCTGGCGTCTGTCTACTCAGGGCTCCAGGGAGCTTTGAAATAAACTTATTTCAAAATAAATCGATGTCACCAAAACTACATTGTGACTACCTGCATCCCTGCATCAGTAAGATTCAGATCTCAGTCTTATTGGCAGTAAGGAGCTGATAGGTTTTCAAGTTAAATTTAGTAAGCAGACTGCAGGGACATAGCAGAATATTTTGGCACCCAAGGTACTGTATTTTCTGCATCAATGCATGGAATGCAATACCAGCACATACAGTATAGCGCTGGGAAATGTTAAGCCCAGCCTTGATAATGGAATTCAGTATACTGTTTTCACTTGGCATGTAAGAAAAAGAGGTACAGTGATCAGTCTGAATGGTCTGTTCTTGTCGTCAAAGTTTAGCTTGTCACATATTGTAAGTGGTCAAGTCACTTAAATGTACTTCTACAATTTGCTAAACTGTGACTCAAAAGTTGTATTTGATTTGAGAACTTTGTGTGTTCTGGTTTTTAGTCACAGACTCCTAATTAGAGTTTTAGTTTTGGCTGTGATTGTAATTCAAAATATAGTAGCAAGTTGAGACCCCTTGCTAAGTTCCCTTCAGTTATCTGTTTGTCTGCTTTGAAAGCTTGAAAATATAGATTGTATATTGCACGTTAAAAAGTGATTTACTTTCATGGAATTATGGTCTTTGAAAAAACCCTTTATTCCAATCCTTTTTTTCTTCCTTTCTTTGTGATTCTATATATTTTAGATGATAATACAGTCCTTATTTAAGAAGGTTAATATTACTCTTGAATGTCATGAAAGGCTGTGGGATTATTAAAGAAGGTCATATTGTACAAAGAATGAGAATTCAGAGAGAATTATAGCATTACATTTTTTCCAAGTGCAGTGCTTTAACAATTCTTTAAGGCATGCTACATTTCATAACTTCAGTAATTTTAGTAGTTAATAAGAAAGTCAGCTGGTCACAACTTCATCTTTTGTGATTTATTAATGTATTACATTTTAATAAATTATAATTTATTAATGTATTTACGAATTGATTAACTTTGTTTTCTGTGAAGAACATTTTCCAATGTTGGGCAGATTGTGTAATGAGAGAATTTGCATCTTCTTCACATGGATATTAAACAACAAAACAAATGAAGTGAAGACATTTCATTTCAGTCTTTATTTAATTGGCTTTCAGCCTGTTTTTGAGCAGAGATGGGTAACAGTGGTTTTCCAGGGCTGTGTAGTTGTGTTTCATTACCTTCTAGGCTTTTGAGTGCTTAATTAAACTTTCAGCCATAAAAGCATATACAGTATATTTTTTCATATTTATTTTAACATGCATACTATTTGCAGAAAATGTTCAAGAAAGTGTTTACATAAATGTATACACTGATGCTGTATGCTGACATGAATTCTACGAAACAAGTTCAATTCACTGAAACCCATTGATGTAAATGTAAAATATATGGTCCATATATTATTATACAGTATAAGCCTGGCATGTACAGTATGAGCATATGCACAAAATCTTGAAATTAAAGTTTAAATACTGAGACTGAGACTGAGACTAATCTTGATTGATCTTATTTGCTTACACTCAAATTAACCAGATTTGTTTCTTGTACTATCCTCTTTAGTAGTGTTCAGTTTTCATGCTGTGTTGCCTGGTCTCTAAGTAAAATGAATGTTGACTGAACATCCTGTTTCTCAGTGTGCATCAATAATCTACGTGGTTAATTAACACAGAGAATGGAATGAATCACCAGAGAACCCTGCTTTGTTTGCACAAAATTAACCTTAAAATGGTCTTGCTTTAGTTTCTGTACAGAGCAAAGTGTTTCCCTGAAGACTGTGTGTTGCAGGTGTCTCTCGGATGTAGAAACACTATTATTATTCAAGCTCAGATTGCCCACCCAACGAGCTGGTAGTGAGATGTTAACAGAAGAAGGGTGTTTTCTTCCTTTCCGTGCTGTGAGGAGCATGTATTGATTATGCAAGCCCACCAGGTCTAAGAAGGACAAGGAAGGCTCAACAGTGATTAATTGCCAGGCACTCAAGAGGGCTGGTATAGTGTATGGATTTACCCTAAACTGAGTGATCACAGAAGAAAGAAACATAAACCCTCTCTGATATCTTGGTTTTCTCATTCAAAGAACACCCAATGACAAAGACAGCTGAGCCTTTAGGTCCAGAGCATTAAATCTTTGTCCCATAATGGTTCTCGTATTTTTAATGTTTTTCCCTGCTAATTTGTAAGTCTTAAATTAATATTTGTACTTTATTTTAAGATGCTTTGCAGTCAGTGATTCTGTGTGTCCACAGGGGAGGGTGTCCTCTTGTCTCATTACCAAGATAGATAACAAATCTCTTAGAGCTTCTCTGGCTAAATAAATCGAGTTCGACTTGTTGTATAGTATAACAGCATCTTATTTGCATTGTAACAGACTTTTTAAGAATGAAGGACAATGTTTTTAAATAAAAAATCTAAAAGGATAAATTGCTGTGAGACTTTCGAAAAGGATAGAAAACAAAATGTCCTTTTTAGCCCCCGTGTATTATATACGGAGATACTCTATAAAAGATAAGGAGGAGAAACCAGTTAAACCCAAGGCTACTTTCTAATGTACTTCTAGAAATAGATTTGTGTGTACGTTTCACACAGGCACAACATGTAGTTTCACAGAAGTACATACTGCCTCTGGGATATGTGTGCAGCAGTCAGAAATGACAAAGATTGAATGGAGCACAAGTCAGTATCCCTCAAACGGATAAAGCACAATGATAATTCAATGCTAATGTTGGGCAGTCAGCCCTTAACATAACCCTTTTCATCCACACAGACAGTTGTAGCTACATTGCTTTTCCAGAGCCATGCTCTGATGCTAATGTGGAAAACCCATCACCATCAATTTTCAGACTTGATTTAGCCTTTTAAAAATCCTAAGTTTGAGTCAGTGACTTTTTGCCTGGCGAGAAATCATGTATACACTTGGGGCCAAACAATTAAGTCTTTTTACTGATGACCTGTGCATGATTCATACTGAGATAATGGAAACAGGTAATGATGCTAAACCTCCCTGCTACTTAACTTTTTGTGACAAGATGATGGTAAGTTTTCCTGGTGATTTAAAAATGACTCAGGACCACCAAGTTGTGACACTGAGGATAAATAGAGAGAGGTTCGATGAGGGAGCTGTGTCAGCATACACAGGCTGCAAAGGGACAGGTAAAGGTTCATTCCATTGTAAAGAAACTACAATTCAGCTGTGTATATATATATCCCTGCATACTGTTCACAAGGCTTGCAGTCATGACACTTTTAAATAGAAATTAAGATTTGGTTAGCACTATAATATTTGCAAATAAAGTATCAATACTAAGGTGCTGATACAGTATAGAGCATACATTTCATGTTTAGCAAAGATAAACTGAAATATATTAAAGTTGTTCATTCTCTATAACATATGAATGTGTGTTTATTCCTTTTTTGAAAACCTTACAAACCATGAATATCAAACTTAATAAGGGAATTATTACATTTCTGTCAAACCCTAATTAATTATTAGTTCATGGTCAATAAACTATGAATCCTTATTAGTTTACTATTAACCCAGCATTTACTAACCCTTATTATTGGTACCTTATTTGAAAGTGCTATGAAT